CACTTGTTTACCAGAAGCCTGCAAAAAAGCATATAAACTTCAACGCTGAGCAGGTGCTAGCTGTGCATGTATGTTGACTGTTTGACACGTTGAGTTGTTTCTTACTTAGGTTCGAGTTTAACAAAATTCTTAGATCATAATTTTATCAGCAATTCATTGATTGTTGAAAAATGAAAAGGCTACAATTCTTAACGACGACATTCAATCATAAACTCGGCATTGTTTAAGAAAAGCTCAATTGCATTAGTTAACTTAAAAGTAACAACGGTCCAGAGTGAGAGTTGGGAATCTAATATCGGGCGACATTCTTTCAAAGCAATTTAAAACATCAAATCACATCTTTATTTAATTTTTGGTGTACTTTTTTTTTGGCGTTTATTCCTAAGGTCAATATTTATTTATTTGCCTGATCTCATGTGGCCCAAAAATTTGAGCAGTAGATAGCGGCAGAAATTGTATCGAATAACATTTTATGCTATTCATTTTCTACGGACCTCTTGGTTGGTGGTTCGTGATGGTTGATGTACATTATTCCTTCCAGACAGGAACTTTTCTCGTTTGCGTACGATTTGGTTTTATCCTTGCAAATCAAGGGACAGAAGCAATCGAATTGACCTTTAAGCAGAGGCTGCTGGTAAATGCTCTGAGACTGGCCAGTCAATGACCGAGGTCACATCTATAAAGAGAAGGCGGTCTCTTTCCCTCATACGTGTTGTAAGGCTGGGAAAAAACACAACCATCAAGCAGGCCTCTGCGCAGGACATGCAAAAAGTGTGAACTCGCGTATGGTTTAATGATGGCTCTGACTGATCTGTGAGAACTTGGCCCACGATAATCAGCTCGAATGGTCTTTGCATTCAAAGGTATGCATGTCGAAGCTAGACGCGCCAAAGAATCTAGAAGGCTGAATCTTTATTTGAAGCTGCGATAAATAAGCAGTAAAAATAGAGCATTGAACGTAATTTTTTTCCATCACCATAAGGTGAGACTAATACCAGATTTAAGACTTTTTTCCTTATCGTATTTTCCGCAATGAATCCCAGCACTCAATAATTAGAGCAGTTATCCAAAGAGTACCAGAGGCCTTGATGGTTCTAAACAATTAATAGCAGAAATTAATTACATACATCATCATTACATATCATTAAGACTTCTTTATTGTCAACCTGCAGATTCTTTGCAACACTATACATATATTCAACTCCCATGTAGTATAAGACAGACCTCATATTCCCACCAAGGTATAACTGCTGTAGAGCGATCTGCTATAGTCTTAAAGGTTCTTTTACTAATTACATGGATTGAGATTGAACCTAAGAAACTAGGATTAAGATTAAGTAGCATTCAGATGAATTTTTCCGATCACAAATGAAACTGTTTTATATTTAGCTACCACTTTTGCATTTGACCAGTTTTCTAATCGGCCTGAACAGGTATTGGTAGATAAATTTGCCTATCGCCTTTAGTTTGAGACATCAAGCCACAGTGAAATCTTCCGGGAAGTTTTGCGGGCGGCGGGCCCAGAAGGTTATAGCCGGGCCTAGACGCCTCGCCGAGACCCGCCGGATCTCCACCAGTGCGGGTCCGTCGAAGCCACCACAAGGCGCGAGTAATCGTCTGTTTGTAGATGCCAAGCACCGCCACGTTGATTGGTTCCGAGTTCAGACTAATAAGCAGATTGCTGGTGACCATGTAGGCTGGTATAGAGTTCAATGAGCGAGACCGTAGAGGCTGTTGTATTGTTCAACTACAGAAAGAATGGGAGCTGAAATCATGTTTATCAAGCAAGAAGGGTTTGGCTATTTCTTATATTGTTCAAGGCTGGAATTGAGCTTAACGAGCGAGACCGTGTTGAAACAGTGGAGGCTGAAATCGTTCTCAATCGGTATTGGGTCCAACAAGCGAGAGCATGTACTTTAGGGTCGGGTCCACAGCGCATGCGGTACCGGTCCCAGTGCGAGAGCCTGTGTAGTATAGCATTGGACCCGGAACTCGAGACTATGTATGTTTATTTTGATTGCTGCGCCCGAGATTACGGTGGTTGTTACTGTGTCAGCTCGCGGAGACAGACGTATCGGGTCTATTTTGCAACACCATTGAAAGATTGTATCAGGACCAGCAAGCCATGCTATGGCCCGGCTGAATCGGCACAGGGGCAGCCAAGTGTGCAGGTACGCGCAAGAAGAGAAGGTGCCCCAGCCTGAGAAGTTTAATGGCCCAGCAGAAGCATGGCATCGAACGCCGGGAGCTACGGCCGTGACTTGCCTCTATAATAACACAGTCGCTGCTGCCGCTGCAACCGTCCGACCTAATGGATCCGCTGCCTACTGCTGTCGCGTGATCGGAACAAGGTTTTGGAATCAGGCAAGAACGCTGCATGTGCAGCAATTCTTGCGTTTGTTGCTCACTATTTATAGGAATCGTGTTAAAATATCGACTTTGCAGGATTTTTGATATTCTTGTACCTGCTTAAGATAAATCATGCCATGACATTACTATATTTATTGCTATTACTTATTCAAACGCTCGCATAAACTTTATTCATGTCATAACTTCATAATCAATTTCTTTCTTCTTTTTATCAAATTCACTAGAATTAACGCGGCGCGAGCTCGAAATTTGTTAAACTTTTTTGGTCATTACGCGATATTTTAATAGCAGAATGTTTTTATAGCATTAACCGCCAACTTCATGCTGGAAATATTATTTCACTTATTTTCCGGAACCGAAGGGCAAAATTGACTAAACCCGAATACAAAAAAATTATATGTATAGTAGGATGAAAAGTTAAATTATCAACATTCACTCTGTTACAGCAATAAAAGTAATGGAGCGACAACCTGCTCACACAGCTTAATTTTCTGATCATTATATCCCTTATAAGGATTTGAGCTCGAATTTGCTTGAAATTTCTGATTTTGATCAAGAAAAATCTTCGTCGCTTTGACTGGTTAAAAAGACCAAGTTATCCAGCGCGTGGATACGTTGTGTGGTGTATGCGGGCTTTTTTTTATCAGCCTGAGCACCTCGTCCGTGAGGGAGAGGGCACGGGTAGCTGGAAGCGATAGACGGCCCGAGTGCGCGGCCGGCCAAACGGAGCATCGCTAAAGCATTTTCGGAGGGCCAACACGAGCGCCGCTGCGACCAGTCATGTCGCGCCAGAGGCACTAACACTGTGCAGGATGGCAGCCTAAACAAGGCGTGCGTCTCAGCCGCGGATGCAATACGCTGCCTGTTTTTCTTACAGCCCACGCTCCAAAAAATTACAATCCAGGTAACACCAACTCTTGAGTCCAGATCGAGCTAACAGTGGATTGAAGTTTGTGAAAATTGGGCAGCATGGTACGGTCTTGCAAGGCTCCAATAGAATGACTTACATCAGGAGAATTCTCAGTTTGGTCGATAGGAACTTAAGCATTATTAGAATTTGAGATGCAAGTCGAAATAGAATAAAATGACACATTTCATACTTCGATGTCGAAGACTCTAACACATTTCTATACCAATCGGAAATCCGTCGATTTAACTTTGGTTTAGAAAATTTCACACTGATATTAGAATTTCAGAGAGACGAACTTATTCACCGTCTGGGGTAAACAAGCGAGCTTCATCATGCACAATGATTCTGGTTCTATTAGTTTTCACTTTTCAGAAGGCATTCACGAGCTTGCACTCATTTAAATGATGAAAAATTAGCTGTATAAAAGGAATCTAGCGCAGAATGAAAGTTGTTCACACCTTGATTGAACGCGCGCCTGCTTTAACTGCCGATCTGAATTGTTGGTATCAATTTTGTACGATGAAGAACAAAATTTAAAGACTATATTTCAAGTGGAGTTATTTGTAAGTATATATACAGCAGACAAGATAAAGCAGGGCAATAACTAATGGATGATAAAGCGCAGCTGTGGTCTTCATGTGCGGCGGCATCACCACACGCTGGGAGCTGGCCCTGTCCAATCTAACTCGCTCAGGCTCTTAGTGAGCCACTCGCAAATCATCTTTTCGTTAAACTTATCTTGCAGCAAGGCCCTCGGAACACTGATAGCGCTTTGGGATGCGCAACAAATATTTGTGACGGACTTCAATATAGTGCGCCAAAAAGCATGAAAATCTACGGGAACTGATTAATCGTTAACAACGATTGATACTGAAATACGGTGAAAAACAAACGAGCGATTCCTGACTCTTTCGCAACAAGATGTTCAAGTGATCAACATTAGAAGACCATAAGATCTTTTCACTGACAGTAACTCTAATAACCCCACTTGCAGACACAAATTACGTATACAACTACTTATATCTCATAAAAAAGACAGCAACAGTTTGACCAATTGCCGTGCAGCGAGTCAGGAAGGTGAAAAATATTCATTGAACTACCGATAGTTTTATCAACATGTTCTTCAACTTTAGCAACATGTATAAAGCATTCAAACCAATGAATAGACGAGATTCCCTTTTCAGTGAGTGGCAAGACAAATTTGAGGTAAAATTTTCATTTTTATTGCATGAAATCGTCAAATAATTCTGAGCAAGAGCTCGGGTGCTAACAAAATGAAAGAATAATGCACTTTCAAATAAGCAAGACAGTCAACTAGAAATGAACATCGCTCCACGCGAAACTGAACAGGACTGTTAATAGGACTTTTATAGCGTTGGGATTTGAAACATATAGTTCACTACACTCGGAACTGAGCTTGACTGTACCTATGGGATAGGAGTCAATGATAGAACTCTTGATCCATTGGAAATTGAACAATAACTCCTTAACCGGACACTGAACTTCAGGCGACTGAGTAACGAGTTTTAGTATCTTTCTTAGTTTCTTCTGTAGCAGTATTACAGCTACAGAAGAATAACTTTTATCACTAAGCTAAAATCCGAAGAATGTATTACAAAATTTCCAATGTGGAACAGCATAATGAAAACAAAAAGAAAATATGATGAAAAATTGAACAATTGCATGCAAGATAAAAAGGATGAATAAAAATTATCAGAGCTTTTAAAATACACGTACGTATGTCGTATATATTGACGGGCGACACCAGAAAATATCACTATTAGATCTCTTTTATAGTAGGGGCAATTAAATCCCGATCAGCAGAGAGCTCCACGATACATTCAGATCTTTTACAAGCACTTTCATGAAATTTTCTGGAAAAATAACATGAACTAAAATTAATTGAACAAAAGCTGAAATATTCAAGACTTACATAATGGATACTACGTAAATAATATTACACAGCCATTTCCATGCTGATCTTAGGATGAGGGTTGTAGTCAAGGACTTTGATGTCATCGATAGAGAATTTTTCGATGTCCATCACGTCAGGGTTGAGGACGAGAGTGGGAAAAGGGCGTGGGGAGCGCAGCAGTTGTTCTTGCAGGGCCTCTATATGGTTCATGTAGACGTGCGCGTCACCCATCGTGTGTAGGAACTCGCCAGGCTAGAAATAGAGCAATGCACAGGAATGGGGATACTAAAGCTCAATAATAAAAGTTCTTACAGAGTAATGAAGCATTGAACTTAGAACACGCATCTTTGGTCTGACAAAGTCAGTGTTGATTATTAGGTACCTAAAAGTTTATAGCAGGAAAACTAACCTCAGGTTAGTAAACTAAAATAAGCAAGATTTTGGATAAAAGTCTCAGCGTAAAAACACATAAATACCTAATACATGATGAAATTAGATTAAATACTCGTATTCATCAAGTGAAACAAAATAGAGAAAGTTAAGTCACCATAAAAAATGGATTAGTACCTTAAGGCCGGTGACCTGAGCGATCATGCAGGTGAGCAGAGCATAGCTGGCGATGTTAAATGGCACACCGAGGCCCATGTCAGCAGATCGCTGGTACAGCTGACAAGACAGCTCGCCATTGGCAACGTAAAACTGACACAAGCAATGGCAGGGAGGCAGTGCCATTTCAGGGATGTCAGCTGGGTTCCAAGCAGACAAAATCAAACGGCGGTCTGTGGGATTTGTCTTGATTCTTTCAATGAGCTGAAAAATAGAATTATTGACAATGTCAATAGTCACTTCAAACAGAATAATATACGTTTAAAAATTAATTTTTAAAGACAACACTTCTAAAGAATCCAGTATCTACATTCTTAAAGATGTACAATGAATTTCTCATTTCATCTTCGAATAAAAAAAATAAATTTTTCGTTTTTTTTTTAATATATAAAATTTTTTTTCGAAATTATTTATTCTATCAATTGATTCATACATTGCCTCTGACTTCACACAAGTGTGCAAAATTTCAGATTAATTGGACAGTTGAAAGTGTGTCATAGATCATTTTAGATTTGTAGCTGACAAAAATATTTTTTCAATTCTTTTAATATTGAAAGCGAAAATTTTTTATTCCTAAAATTATTTACTTTGTCATTTGATTCATGCATTGTCTCCAACTTTACGCAAGTGTGCAAAATTTCAGATCGATCGGATAAGTAGAAGTTTATTAAATTTCGATTACAAGATTTGTAGCAGACAGACAAACAGTCAAACAAGAAGTGAAGTTAAAGAGAAGTGTTATAAAAATAATATACGTTTAAAAATTACTTTTTAAAGACAACACTTTCAAAGAATCCAGTATGACCAATCTTACAGATGTACAATGAATTTCTCATCTAATTTTCGAAAATTAAAAAAATCAACGTTTCCAATTTTTTTAATACTTATAAATTTTTTTAATATATAATTTTATTTTCAAAATTATTTATTCTGTTAATTGATTCATGCATTGCCTCTGACTTCACACAAGTGTGCAAAATTTCAGATCAATTAGACAGGTAAAACTGTGTCAAATATCAGTTAGAAGATTTGGAGCTTACAAAATTATTTTTTCCATTTTTTTAATTTTGAAAAAAAAAATTTTTTAAATAATCTATTTTGACATTTTATTCATGCATTGTCTCCAACTTTACACAAGTGTGCAAAATTTCAGATCGATAGGATAAGTAGAAATGTATTAAATTTCGATTACAAGATTTGTAGTAGACAGACAGACAAATAAACAGACAAGAAGTGAAGTTTAAGAGAAGTGTTGTAATAATAATAATGAAGAAAACTAAATTCGTCGTCCGGAATTTCTGTTTCTCAAATACATAAGTTACTTTCCCAAGTCGGATGACAATATACAGAAGTAAGCAAATTAAAGTGGACTTCCTTTTCTTTTCACAAGTCAGTATTTGCATTGCCATTTAATTTGAGCAGTGATCTGGAAGGACAAACAGACTACATTATTGATGAATTTACTCATATCTGGCACCGGCATGAGCCTCAGCATACCTAATTACAAAATTTCAGTATGATTTCAAACAACACTTAATAGTCAACCTGCAGGAGCTGGTCGACGCCCTGGCCGGTGTAGTCCGCGTGCATATTCGTGTATTTGGCTCCAAAATGTCGCCACTGGAAACCATAAACTGGACCCAAGTCTCCCTCCTCACGGCTTGTTAAACCCAGGCTGTCGAGGAACTCTCTGAAAAATATAAATTTGTAGAACGTAAGCCATGCTAAATGGAGTCACGATGATGGCATCATTTGTTGAGCATGAGAATAGTCAAACTGGTTTGTGTGAGTTTAATTAACATGTTACCCTCCTTTGTCAAACTGTATTCAAAATACAAACTATGGTGGCAGGGACAGAAACAATTACTTGCTCAGTAAAAACTAAATTATTGATTAGCAAAGATCACAAACCTGCTGGAGTTTCCATCCCAAATGTGCACATTTTTGTCTTGTAATTCTCTAGCATTGGTACTGCCACGGATGAACCACAGCAGCTCTTCAGCTATCCCGCGCCAGAAAACTCTCTTGGTGGTCAGGAGAGGAAATTGCCCTGAAACAGAATAGCTGAATTAATAATCAATCAGTCATATATACTCAATTACCTTGAATCATCAAAGCAACTTCCTTAACCTTAGACAGATTATTTACTTTGGAATTAGGAAAAGAATGGTCAAAGGTAGAAGGAATCATTTTAAATGGCTTGATAAAAAATAAATAAATAATTTGTAAGTGTTGGCTTAGATCAGTGGTTCCCAATTTTTTTTCAGGCTGGTGCCCCCTTTGGCTCCCAAGTGAATCCCTAGCGCCCCCTCCCCCGACAGACACATATAAAAACAAACGCCCCTTTCTTGATATCTAGTACGCTGCAATTTTAAAAGAGAAAGGTTAAACACAAATGTGTATTTCACAAATAGAACCTTATTTAGTAAACCAATATATTTTTTTATAGTTTAACTGTTTCAGCACTAGAAATTAAAGACGGCTCGAAAGAATTTACGGCCGGACTCGCTGCCGGTTTCACAGCCAATCTCCAAATTCAGCGACCAAGGAATATATCCCAAACTAATAAACGCAGCTCGATAAAACTTGGAACACGTATAGTCAAATGGGGTAAGACAGAATCGCAGCCTTCATGGGGTAAGAAAGGACCAGCCCATATCATGCATTCTAATTGCACTGAATGTAACAAGTGGTTGTGCAATCAAATAATGTGTTTCTAGATTGATAATATTGAATATCAGGTTAGTACTTTTATTAAAAACCTTGTAACACAAGAATTACTTGTTGGTCCTGTCTTACCCCATGCCCGGTCCCATCTTACCCCAGTGGGGTAAGATGGGACCAGCTCACTTTTTTTAATCTGTACAGAAAACTATGTTGTATGCAGAAAGTCTGAGTTGTAGCTTAGAAGCCCATTGCATAACTACACCATGTGATAGGTTTAGGGTTTTTTATTAATTCATGGTATAGATGCTACATGCTTGTTAGTGATTTCGGTCCTGTCTTACCCCATCTGACTATATTCATTAGGACCTAACGGTGATGTTTAGCTCGTGAAAAAAAAAATTAAATTTCACCTTCATTCGGGAGTTTTATGGCGATATGGGCCGAATTCGAAGTGATCAAAGAATCTTCCAAACTACTGAACAGATTCGAACGAAATTTGGAATTTAAATTCGTCACTACCAAACGGTGATTTTTAGCTCGTGAAAATTTATTCGATTTGAAGTCATGTTCTGCACGTGTTGTGTACAAATCGTACAACAAACGGACACACTTCTGACTTCGCGGACTGCCGCCCCCCTACTGCCCCTTTCTTCCTCATCGCCCCTCCCCCAGATCTTTCCACCGCCCCCAGGGGGCGATATCGCCCACTTTGGGAACCACTGGCTTAGATGGTTTTACCCTATGGAAGCTACCAATTTAATATTTACACACCACTCGGCTTGAAAAGTAGTAGTACCACTCAGTCACTTGATTAGTCAATTAGTAGAATGTATTTACTATAGGTACTATACCCATGGAAGATTTTATTGTTATAATAGGAGTACAGGGGTTGGACACAATAGGGGAAACGCCTAACATTTTGAGATGATAATTTTTGAACAGGTAAAAAAAAACCTGACCCATTTTAATGTTTTATTTTTTTATTGTTGTTGCTAAATGATATTTCAAGCTTTTGCAGTTATTTTTAGAAAATTTTTGTGACCATAAATTTACAAAAATGATAAACCTCACTGAATTTAAAGAAGTAAAATTGTTGGTGCTCGTATGGCAGGTGCAAATGTGACAAACTTCCCAAATGCTTCATCTTTCTAGAGGTACTGTCTCAAAAGTAATGACTGCTTTTGGAAGAGAAGGAAAAACGTCCTCAGCAAAGCCCAGGTCTTGCGGAAATTCATAGTTGTCTGAGAGAGGCTGTCTGTCTCGAAATCAAATTTTTAGAAAATCTGAAGATCACAGCTACAGCTGTAAAAATTACAGCAGACCTAAAGAGATACATACATACAGAAGAAGTTTTCATAAAAACTGTTTTTTTTTAAGAGCAACAAAAATCTAAATTCTATGGAAGGTTGCAATTAGAAAAAATTATGGTCTTAAATACCATTGCTTCAAAGCGTTTAAAATGATGTTAAAACCTTCGAAATTTGTCCCTTAAGCAGTGGGAAACTGTGACTTTATTTCAAGAATCATTGTTTACCTTTATTTCCGACCTCTGTCCGAGTGACTGTTGGAAAAAAGGCTAAAAGAGGGTTAAAGTGGAGTTCAACTGAATAGGTTAAAAGAGGATTCAACTTAAAAACAAACTAAAATCCTGTCCGGCTATTGACCAAAACACGTGTGGGTATATACTGCGTGAACCAGAATTAACTGACCCTTTTAATTTGTTAATAAATACAAAAACTAAGAATGTTATGAAGTTGAAACTTGTTTTATTTAAAAGAAGAACATTTTTATGGTAATATTGTATCCTAGTTTTTAGGATACAATAACTAACTAGGATAGTACAATATTACATACAATATTTTAATTAATACCTATTATTAATACATAATAAATATTTTAACTAATACAATAATAAAATATTGTAATAGGATACAATATTTTAACTAGGATACAATATTACCATAAAAATGTTCTTTTAAATAAAACAAGTTTCAACTTCATAACGTTGTTAGTTTTTTATTTATTAACAAATTAAAAGGGTCAGTTAATTCTGGTTCACCCTGTATATGTACAAGGCTCAAGAAATTATTTCCTTACATGCAGCCAATTTAATCCACATTGAAATAATAACAGTTGAAACGTTTTTTTGAAACGGTCTCCGAAACGTTTTCAAAAGAGATATGCTAAATTTTTGTGGTGTTTTCTTCGCTTTTAAATTTCCAGTTGACAAATAAAACATTCATTTTCAGAAAGCTAGGTACAGTTTGCATGCTTACTGTAACTACAAAACTGTCCTTACCATCTCTGAGTGAGAACCTCATCTGAGCACCAAAGATGGATTTGGTACCAGTTCCAGTTCGGTCTTTGCGTTCATTCCCCTCAGAGATGATGCGTCGTATCAAAAACAGGTACTGCAGTTCATCTTCATTAGGCTTGTTTCCACCATTCTGCAAATAAATAAATTAAAATACACTAGAAAATTGCCATGCATGTGTAAGTAGCTGTAAACTATCAGCACAAGTTCATTCTACTGATAAATAAGTTTGACTGTGACTAAACAAGGATTAAAAAAATTCTGATTTTCCTCAAATTTTGAACCCTAATATGAAACAACTTAATGGATTCCTTACTTTGAACAAATATGATCCACTACAAACAAAAAAAAAACAAGACTTGAAAAAACAAAATGACACAAGCTGACAAGCAGTTGTTATTAAAACCATACAAATTCAAAATGTGTAATGCAGGATAACACATAGGTATCACTTAATAACAGCAATGATGGTTAAAATGAAAGAGGGCTAGGCTTCATTCAAAAGAGAAGGGAGTCTTAAGATTTAAAGGAACTACAGTAACAGGAAAATTGCATCACATAAACTGGAATGCTTGGATCTTATTCTCTGCAAGATGTTAATTAAATAGTTGAAATATTATGGAAAGCAGAGTCAATGGATGATTCAATAAAGTTCATTAATGTCACCTAAAATTGATGATACACAGAATAGTTTTTTTCTACAGGATGGAGCTACAGTTCACAGAACAGGAACACAAACAGGAAGAACCTAATTTTCCCTCTTGCTGTAGCCAATATGAACTCAAAATTAATGACACCTGCATCAAAGAACAACTTCTGCCAAACTACATCAATATTATATATACCTATATTCACACATACACAGAGATACATACCTTGACTGGTGATGGAGTTTTCAGACTGCTACCTGAAAGAAAAGAAAGACTTCAAGTAAATTTGATCATCATCAATTAGAAAAACTCTATGGAGTCTATTGTCTATTGAAGAAGCACATATTACTAATAATATAAAGTTGATCTAATTTTGATATATGGTGGGTGCCAGAAGTATCCAACACAAAGGAAGAACTTTATTTAATTAAAGCTTATTCGACAAAATCTAAAAAATATAACTCGGTACTCACTGCAGTGAGTGACAGAGAGCGCATTTTCTCGTCGACAAAAACTTGAGGTCAAGGACAGACGGACGGACAGACAGATGGACATGGCGAGCACAATAGTGCATAATTTCCATATATGAGAAAATGCTCTAAAAACACTATTCTAATGTAAATTTACATGGGAAATGCAAATATCATATCAAAACAACAGTATCATTAAATGTTGACTTGATAATTGCAATTTTGTAAAAGTCAAGGTATAAAAAGTATCCAACACATTGGGAAAAAGAATTTGATTCAGCAATAATTTCTCATCCATTACGTTTGAGGGAATATTCTAAATCAGAAAACATTGGAATCTTGTAGAATGCAAAAGAACATCAAAGACATCACTCAAACTGCAGTCATTCACTTCCTGGCATTGTTGTCTTGTAAGGGGAGGTTTTGAGGTCATCTTTGAGGACTCTACGCATTGATGTCTGACTGACTCCTGCTTCAGCAGCCAATTTTGCAGCTGAGCGACGAGGGTTTCTCCTCAACTTCTCCCTTGTGTTTTTGACCAATTGTTTTGTTCGGACACTTCGTTTCCTTCCTTAACCAGGTCGATTGCATGTTTCACCAGTTTCCTGGAATTTTTTTACCACCTTCCACACAGTTTCACGACGAATTTGGAGATTTTTTGCAATGACTGAATTACTCTTGCCCTTTTCATGAAGGGTTACAATTGCATTTCTATCTACTGCCATGAGTAATAGTAAATTTAGACACCTTAGACTTCTGCAATATAAAATGTATGAATTAATAGATGATATTAAGCTTCATTATAAAAGAAAAGTCTCCTAGAAACCAATTTATTTTTATACAGCAAATATTTGTTGCCATAAATATGGCAGACCCTGTACAGTATTGTCAGAACCAACTAGAAAATCAATTTTTAAGCTACAGAGAGATGGTTTGCATTATATAAAAATTTCAGCTGTGTTAAATATCCCAATTTTGACAGTTGGTGATACTGTTCAGAGGTGGAAATCATTCCATCATTTAGGGCATCCTACAAAAATTTCTGACCATGCAGCTAGGAGCTCAGTTTGAAAAGTACAGACTAATTTTTGAAGGACTTTCTCTGAACTGCAAAAAGACTTGCAATCAAATGGGACAAATGTTTGCAAGACTACAATTAGGAAAGTTCTTTGAGAGAGAAGATTCCTTTCTTGGTCACCAAGAAAACCCCATTTTGAAGGAAATTCACGCAAAGAACTGCCGGAACTTAGCTAAAGAACATGTGAGTAAACCTTCAAGCTTTTGGGATAAAATATTATGGTCAGATGAGACTAAAATTAAGTTGATTAGTGGGAACTGTGTCAGTCCTGTTTGGAGACCCAAGAACTCGGCATTTCACCCAAAGAATATCATCCAAAAGTGAATTTTGGAGGTGGCAGCATAATGCTCTGGGATCATTTCACTTCTGTAGGCCATGGGGAATTGGAAATCATAGAAGGCAGGTTGAATGATGAAATGTATCAGAGCATTTTTGAGATGTCTCGTGATGTCAGCCAAAAAATTGAACATTCCTTGAGGTTGGTTAAACCAACAAGACAATTACCCTCAGCACATGGCTAGGGCAATTCTTGCATGGTTTCAGGAGAGGGACATCAAGTAATTGGAATGGCCAAGCCTATCACCTGTGGTGGGAATTGAAAGTGAGGGTACAGGAGAGAGATCCAAAAAAATCTTATCCAATTGAAAGAAATATGCAAAGAAGAGTTGGCTAAAATTCCCATTATCATATGGGTTAATATTGTGAACATGTATTCCAATTGATTAGAAGCAGTTTTGGCTACTAAATGCCCAATGTCAATGTAGTAAGTATATTAGTTTATGTATTAAGACATTTTTTGAGCACTGATGTTTACAAAATTGCAATCATCATGTCAACATTTAATGATATTTTTGTTTTGATAATTTATATTTCCCATGTAAATTTACCTAAGAATATTCTTTGCTTATGTTATATTGTTTCATAAGCTTTAATTAAATAAAGTTTTTCCTCTGTCAGATACTTTTTCCACCCACTGTAATCAAGGGTACTTCTTACTCTAATTTGATATTTGTCAGTAATAGAAATTAAACCAGCATCCATCATGATTTTATAATTCAGCATGAATTTATTATTAATTAATTATAAAGATCATCACAAGCTAATTAATTATAAAGATCATCACAAGTGCAGAGAAGTAAGATATAAAATTAATTCTCACCATTTACATGATCCACACCAGAGTAACTTAGAGAGCATGGCTGCTGCATGCTACAATTTTCACTAGTCATTATTGGAGAAAGATATATTTACTTCAGAAAAATGAAAATTGAGGGAATTCCATGGAAAATATTAAGAATGAATTTGAGTGTTAGAGTGAATTATAAGGGGTAAGTCAGAGTCTGGAATCACATTCATCAATCTTCTGTCATACTAGGATACCTCACAATCCCAGAAAATGGAAAGAAACTCATATAGCTTCAAAACATGAATACATTTCAATGCAATGACAAAATCAAATAAACTTGAAAAAAAAATCACAAGCAAAACATTGATTTCATTTACACCTCTTATCTTTGAAAAATTATACTCAATAATCAAGATTTGACCTGCATATCACAATATTTATGTCAGCCATCACTTAGCAGGGCTGACAGTGACAGCCTGACACAATACTTATCACTGATGTCAGCCAAATGACAGCCATCTGACCAAGCATGGAAAACTTCTAACCTTAGGGCCATGACTAGAGCTTTCCCACCATTACCAGACCCACCAGATTTATGCCAGATGAATTACCTCTTATATAATTGTTAACAAAAATGCACGATTGGGCCGCAAGATTCCAAATGTATAAAAAACTTGTCAAGTTGAAACCGCAAGATTTCAGAAACAAGTAGGAAAATTCTAATCTTGCACCTGACTGCTCTAAGCAAGTTGATTGTTGGCTTGACACATTGAGTTGACTCATTTCTTACTTGCTACTTAGCCTTAAGGCCCTGAGCCTGATTGAGAAATTTCACCTCTTATCTTTGAAAAATTATGCTCAATATTCCAGATTTGACCTGCATATCACAATATTTATGTCAGCCATCACTTAGCAGGGCTGACAGTGACAGCCTGACACAATACTTATCATTGATGTCAGCCAAGTGACAGCCATCTGACCAAGCAAGGAAAACTTCTAACCTTAGGGCCATGACTAGAGCTTTCCCACCATTACCGGAACCACCAGATTTATGCCAGATGAATTATATACCTCTTATATAATTGTTAACAAAAATGCACGATCGGGCCGCAAGATTCCAAATGTATAAAAAATTTGTCAAGTTGAAGCCTCAAGATTTCAGAAACAAGTAGGAAAATTCTAATCTTGCAGCTGACTGCTCTAAGCAAGTTGATTGTTGGCTTGACACATTGAGTTGACTCATTTCTTACTTGCTACTTAGCCTTAAGGCCCTGAGCCTGATTGAGAAACGAGAGGCTTCAAACGGGCTCAGCTCTTCCATATGCGTTTCTTCACAAATTAGAATAGACTTTACTCCACTCATAAATAAGATGGCAATATGGATTTTTCCATGCTTACCCATCTATTTATTTATAAGAGGCAATCAGTAACAAAAAATATGTAAACTTTGTGTTAAAAGAGTGAGAGGAAGAACGAGAGGAAATTTCAAGAAACTTTAAATATTATTGTTCATAAAGTCTGCAACTTTTATACTTTTTCCAAGATGTAAACGGGTCGACATTTCTATTCTCCATTGACTGGTATACTCGGCATTCCTTGATCAGCCTCCTTAGGGTAAATATTTATTTCTCAAGAAATAGTTATGATTGAGCCTGCTGATATGCAGAGGGAAAATCCCGCATACTAGCTGCTCAAATGGAGGCATTGTGGAAGGTATGAGGGGAAAGAGACATCGTAAGTTAATTGACTGTCAGTTCACGACGGGTGGCATGGTGAAGGCAAACTCAATGAGGGGCAAGGAATAATACGCGGCCAGGTGGCCGGTCTAGTCCAATTAGTTATAGCCGACCGTTGGCCATTCTTCAGCCACCTGAAACTGAAAGAGACCAGTTGCCGCAAGAAAGGGCTGGCCAGAATATCATATTACAAAGAGTACAAACTTGAGGGTAGCGACTGGCTGAGCTTTGGGCAGATCAAGGATTTTACATGATGATTGCCAAAACCTTGCACTCAGACTTTGCTGCATTCTGACTACAAGCCTTAATAAGACTAAGGTTCAAGTGGAACAATGAGGGTTGAGGGAGTTCACAAAATTCTTACAGTATAATTTCATCAGCCATGCGTTGATTGTTAAAAAAGGAAAAAGCTACAATTTTTCAACAAAGATGTTCAATCATAAACTTGGCATTGTTAAAGAAAAACTCAATCGCATTAGATAAGCTAGCCTAGTTAACTTAATCACCAACAGTCCAGAATGAAAGTTGGGAATCAAATATCAAGAGACATTCTCTCAAAACAATTTAAAACTTCAAATCACATTTCTATTTAATATTTGGTGTAATTCTTTTTTTGGTGTTTATTCTTCCTATCAATGTCTTTATGACTTTATTTGCCTGATATCATCTCATGTGCACAAAAATTGATAGCACAATAATGTGCACAACTGTAGATNTACACTCTGCATGCTTCAAATGTGTAAAATTTAGTTTTATTACAAGTGTCCCTTTTTACCCCATTTCCAGATTAATTCAGGAGCCTTTTATATTGCGTCTAGCACCTTACAAATAGCATATGGAATTTTTTTGAAGATGCCATTCAATATCCCTCGCAAAGAGCTATAAAATGGGCCTAAACTTGTTTCTGAAATGTTTCATGGTAAGAAGTTATTAACAAAAAAACGCCCAAAACCGTCTCTTTTTACCCCGTTCGACGGTAGCAGCAGAAATTGTATCGAATAGCATTTTCTGTTATCAATTTAACAATTTTCTAAGGACCTCTTGGTTGCTTGACTGTTCATAGGGTTTCACTTTGGCCTCCACCACGCTGATTGTGTCGGGGGTAAAAACCTACCTAGTCTAGAACTTTGAGAACCTAGAAGAAGAGGTTCTCAAGCGCCTTATTGCTGTAAATCCAAACAAGTCATGTGGACCAGACGGCTTCCACCCCAGATTACTCAAAGAGCAACTGTCCTAGCCGGCCCAATTTTTTAAAAAAACTTTGAACGAAGGGATTTTGCTGGCTGACTGGAAAGAAGCTCAAGTGACACCATTAATCAAAAAAGGTGACAAAAGCTGCCCAGGCAAGTGAGGCAACTATCACCCTGTCAGTTTGACAAGTGTCGTTTGCAAGGTAATGGAATCTGTTGTGACGGATCGATTGATAGATCATTTGACTGCTAATAATCTCCTATCAGACTGTCAACATGGCTTTATTGCCAGCATGCCAGGAGATACTGCAGTCTGCACCACTAACCTCTTGTCTACTCAGAACAAATGGACCTACCTGCTGGATGAAAGGGAGCCAGTAGATGCACTGTGGCAGCACTGATGCACTGTACCTTGATTTTGCCAAGGCATTTGAGGTTTGACTGACAGTGTCCCACATGAGCGGCTGTTGCCGGTTGCGGAAATTGCAGTCTTTGGGAATTGACAGCAATGTACTCAAATGGATCAGAGATTTTCTAGTAGAGGGACGCCAACGTGTCAGTATTAATGGCCAATGGGTCCATATCAGACTGGGCTCCAGTGAGCAGCGGCGTGCCACAGGGAAGCATTCTCAGCCTCTCAGGCCTGTTTTATTCATTGCGTTTATAAATGATCTGCCAGAAGCTGTGTCTAGCGTGTGCTTGATGTATGCTGACAACACAAAAATTTATAATACAGTGAACTGAGACTGAGTGAAGAATATGTCGCAAAAAGTACAGTTACAAGGTGATCTTGACAGGCTGGTTGACTGGGCTGATAAGTGGCAGCTGCATTTTAACACTGACAAATGACAATGTAAAGTAATCCACCTTGGCAAGAATAATCAACAGCAAGATTACAGTATGAGAACAATGGCAACAACAGAGTGATGAGTGATGATGTCGAAGTTGACAATGGAAAAAGATTTAGGAGTTAATATTGACAAAGATTTGAAATTTTCTAAGCATATTGAAGGTCAAGTTAATAAAGCCAATAAACAACTTGGATCGACTGATCAGACCGTCAGATGCTCTTTCGAGTTCCCAGACACCGGACAAATGAAGCAGGGTAAATGCGGTATATTCCGTCACATTAAGGACGCATCGAGAAATGAAAAACTATAAAAAAATAACCGTATGCGTTACTTAAGTTCTGTTTGCTTTATGTGACTCTCAAAACACCTCACTACGCGTTAGCAACAATGAAACATCACAAAATGTTGCCATATTTATTTAACCCTTTAGCGGGCAAGCATTGAAATATCCAGAAATTAAAATTTCAGAAACCATTTCAAGATAGTAAGAAGTATTATACAATATATTTATCTCTATGAATTTTTGCAAATTTTGCCTATTGAAGGTTTAAATCGCACTTGAAGAATTCAATAAATGCAATCAGTACACAAAATTTTTCTTTATAATTAAAATTCAGTTTATGCAAATGAAAAATTAGAAACATAAAAATAATATTTAATTAAATTTAATCAAGTTGCCAAAATAAATAAATATATATTTATACTTCCACCTTTTGAAATAAATGCGGAAAGAGCGGAAGTTCCATTGTCCGAGTCAAAAACTTCATTTAAATGCTCATATTTCAATTTGTGGACTTTGCAGCTGTTGATGCTATAGATAGAACGATGGTCAGGTAATTAGTGATTGACTGAGGCATTATAAGGATGCCTCAAAAACAAACATGAAGCCGTGGTGAGGCTTTTTGTGATGCAATTTCAAGTGATCATATATGGTAACTAACCCGTGAAAGGGTTAAAAGCCTTTAGAATGCAAACCTACCAAATCCCTATATTCCGTCACTGTGTGTGGCTATATTCGGCACGTGGTGAGGTGTATTCCGTCTGCGCTTCAAATTCTACCGATACTTAATGCCGTCATGAGTTATCTACGTGTTCGAATTCTGTTCGCTGTGTGAGCTGTATTGGAATACTACACGGCTTTGAATTAGAATACTAATGAATATTGAACACTACTTAATTATGCTTTTAATTAACAACTATTAAGCTTTTAATTAAGCAAGTTTTTTTTTTTTTTGTAGGTACACAGCTTGGAATGATCTGTGTGTTTCCAATTCAAGTTGTGACGGAATTAGTTTTCATGTGTCTAAATCCATTTCTCAACTTATCTATTAATTTATTTACCACTTGGAAGTTGGAATCAGTGAATACAAGTATACTTAAAGGATTCCTAATATATTCACAGACATATTTAAAATATCTCAAACCATAATACCGTAAAATGGGGTAACTTAGACCATTTTTTTTATAAATGATGCCATTTTTTACTAGCTAAATTCAACTTGAATTGAAACATGCAAAATA